TTTTACTCTGTCTGTCCCGAGCTCAAGGTCATGGGCTCCAGCCGGCTGAAACGGCAATTTCGTGCGATGGGATAATATTATTATGATAAGGTGATAATAATAATAATGTCGTTGCTCAACTCATCGCTTTTTTCGCCCTGTTGGAGCTATACGTATGGTATGTATGTGCAGGGCGGGAGATGATATCATCTGGGATGCAAGGTGGGAGTTAGTCGGGTAAAACTAAGCACGGGGAAGAGGTGCGATATACCTTGGTCGAGATGCCAATTTTGGGACCAGGATGTCCATTTCCGATTCCGATAAGCATATATACTTAGGTATACTTATTATTATTATTATTGGTATTGCCTCTGCCAACTGGAAGGGAAGACATATCCAGTCTGGGATACTAAGCGAGAACGCAGTGAGACATGATATTAATAACTTAACTCACGCCGGCGAGCTTCGAGAAAAGCGAGACAGCCCAGCAAGGCTTGCTCCATAGTCGGCGCCTGCGGATGGAGCCCGCTAGCTCGCTACTTTACGATAATAATAATAATAATAATATTAATAATAATAATGGGAATGCAAGTATGCATGATGCATCCGCCCAACGGAGCTACTCTGTATAACAACTTACTTGCTGGCGAGAAAATTCCACCTGCCTCCTTATCAATCAGTTACATCGAATGCGGCTCCCGGCGAGATAAGAAACGGATGGCCAGGCGCGTCTGCTGGCTCTTACTTTTCTCCAAGCCTGGGCTGGCCATCTCTTGAGGAATCGAACCGCCCGGCGTAAAAAAGGCAGACAGCGGATGGATGGACGGAGGGATGCAAAAGACGCAGAGAGGACAAGGCCTGGAAATCTACGCAGTCTTTGCCCATTTCCTTCATCTTGCTTAGACGAGGGGAAAGGCAAAAGGAATAATAAGCTTATGATATTGTCATTATGACCTGTGCTCTCTCTCTATCTCTCTGTCTCTGACTTTCTGTGTGTGTCTCTCTGGCGGGAGAGACGAAGAGGATTATCTAATTACCCATCTTTGACAGCCGTCGTCTGTACGGTTATATAGCAAAAGAAGCCATGACGTGGAGGAGCGTGGCACCCACCCGCGCGCATCAGGCCAGTGCATCAAGTTCTGCTTCTCTAACAGACGGCAGGGAATCTCCCTCTGTAGATGTCTCTTCCCTTCCCGAGAGAGCGGTTATGCTTACTTCCATCGAAGGGAGAGGCAGACATGAAACTCGTCTGTTTGTCATTCTTCTCTGCTCTGTATCTTCTTCTTCTTTTCTCTCCCCTTCCCATGGTCCCGCAATTAGCTTTTTTGCAAATAAAAAAAAAGAAAGAAAGAAAGAAATGCAAAAAAAAAAAAGGACAGCGAGTCTCTGCTTTCTGCTTCTCTCTCTGCCTCTGCTTCTGCTGCTGCTGCTGCTCAACCCCTGCATGAAACGCTAGTCGAGCGCGGCAGGGGCAAAAAGCAACGAGAGCGAACAGGAACAGGAACAGGAGCAGGAGAACGGAGGAGGAGGATCGCCTTGGTTTGATGGGCTGGAGAGCTGCGACTTGTTATGTCATCTCGGCTTCCTTGTTTTTCCTTGCTTGTCGTCTACCCAACACTGTCCGTCGTCGTCGTCGTCGTCGTCGATATCATTATTATCCCCAGGAGTTATATCTGTTTGTTCCTTGAATGGTTTCTTCTTCCTCTCGGCTATCATGGCCAGCTCACTAACTGCTTACTCACGTCTAGGCTGCTGTATTAACCCTGTCAGGAATATGCGATGGGGAACGAGGGAAAAGAAAAGAAGACGCCGTGATCAAGAGATGTTTGTTTCTTGTTGTCGTTGTCTTCTTCGCCTTCCTGCCTCTCCTACAAGGACTCCTCCGTATGTGCCACCTGGATAGGTACTTCATGTCATAGCATCGAAAAGAAAAGAAAAACAAACATACTCCGTACAGAAAAAAGTCACACACACATGGGAAGCGAGACGTGCGTTGCCCATCCCTGCTTGTACATTCATTCTTACAGATGGGGGGATGAGCAGGCAGGAGGATGCATCATCACCATCATCGTCATCATTACTATCAGACGCAACTTCGTACCCTCGCTGACGGACGAACAAGCGAGCGAGCGACAGAAACGAGATGAGACGGAAAGCGAACTGTGGCACGGCACATGTTAAAACTACTTGCGGTCGGGTGGTTGGTGGTGGCTCATCCCTCGCCTTCTCGCCTTGATGTAATGATGTATGCCGTACACCGAGAATACATACTATTTACAAGGCCGCAGGAACAAAATGACATCAGAGTCACTGCGCCTCATGTGATAGATATAGTTCTTCTTATTATTAGTTGTCCAGAGCCAACTTATTATTCGTCCCGTATATCGGGTTTTAGCAAGCAGGGTACGATGGTTCGGCGATGACGGTGAATAATCAATGACGATGATGGATTGATTGCTTCGGATGCTGGCTTGATGTTATTAGAGGGATCAGGCCGAGAGTTACAGGCAGTCAGCTAACCGGTTACAAGTCTTCCCTTAACTTGTCTGCCTTCCTGTTTGTCATTCTACTTCAAGGGGTTTCATCAACCTCTTTCGCTGGTTTGAAGCTGGTGGTTCAGAGCGGGCACTAACCAGAACTCTACTCTCCTGTCCTAGCAAGCCCTTTTCTGATGCAGGTCTTTTGGAGATATAGAGTAACTCCCCCCTTCTGGCCTTCTCTGGAGTCGGCCTACTAGCAACGGTTGCCGAGATTGCAAAAAAAAAGAAGAAGAAGAAGAAAGAAAAGAAAGGGGACTTCCACTTTTTTTGCAAAGAGTCTTTTAACAGGAAGAGATAAGTAGGAAGAGAAGAAGAAGAAGAAGAAAGTCTCCTTCGTTCTTGGTGATATGATCTGATATGGTGATGCTCTGGTTCTGGTTCTGGTTCTGGCTCTGGCTCTGGTTCTTTTCCTGTCCTTCTTCCCAGAGTCCTCCTTGTCGCGGATCCCGGACTGCCGAAGACCTCCTCCATGGCAGGCAGCCTGTATGTAATCAATCACCTTTTTGACTTATCTTTGGGGGCCTTCCTGCGGTTCTCGTCTCTTGCGTCTCCGTTCTTGGTCTCCTCCTCCTCCTCTTATCCCCAACAGGGCCCCTTGGGTTGTCAGGTGGAGCCCGCTGGCCCTGGTTTTTTTTTTTTTTTTTTTTTTAATACCCTTTTCCTTTTCTCATTTTTTTTCTTTTTCTTTTTTCACTTCCTCTTCTTGTGTTTCTTTTTTCTCCTGTTTTTTGCTTTTTCTCGTTTCTTTTTTGCATCTACCTTTTGGTGGCCCCCTAATTTATCATGATGGGCGGATCTGAGCCCTATGTACCAGACTATTACGAAGTTACATCTTCAACTCTCTTTTTTTTACAAGTCGGTGGAATATATATAGAGGGCCGTCTATCTCGTCCCAGCCCTTCCCGTCTCTCCTAACCGTTCATCAGTACGTCCATTCATTCAATCATCCAAAGAAGCGACCTTATATAGACCAGCCACCACCACCGCCAACAAGTCTATCTACCAAAACAACATCTTCGCTTAATAACCTACCACCAACCACTACTACTACAACTACTATCAATCAAACAACCTACTTTGCTACCTCAGCACGCTCCTATAACGACCTCTCCAGGAGCTATCAAAAGTCAAACACCACCCTTCACAATGGCCGGATACGCTACTCAGTTCCCTCCATGCCCTGGACCACCACCAACGGGCCCTCTACCGCCTCTCCCAAAGTAGAAAGAAAGAAAAAAAAAAAAAAAAAAAAAACGTCATGAACCAGCCAGACCATCCACCTACCAACGCAAGACTTAACGACGACAACAAGACACAAACACCATAACGAGACAACCACCCTCTTCCATCTCATGGTCCTAATCATCGACTTTTCTTTTTCCTCGACAAATTCGAAATAATGCATGGCGACCTTTCTCATCTACAACTATCATCATCATCATGGGTGCATCGAGATTACCGATCCTACCTACCCCGGCAGCCGGCTGCCCTAACGTCTTCCATTATCAGCAATTCACTTCTCTAGAGATACCCCATGTTGGACCATAATACATCGTCCTGCCTTCTATGGCATCGACTTGTTTTTTTTTTTTTTTTTTCCTTTTTCATATCTCTTTTCTTTTCTTTTCCTTTTGTTCTGTCTGCTTTTTTCCTGTTTTCGGCATAATACAATTATATAATATGGTGCTTTTCCCTTCCTCAGCTCCTCTTCTTACTTAGGTTTCTTTTTTTCTTTTTTTTTTTTTTCCATCGTTGTTATGTTGTTCCCTGCATGCATCGCATTATCCCTGGTATTTTTCTTTTCCACAAAAATTATTCTTTTTTTCTTCCTACTCTGTCTCTTTCGGAAAACAAAAAACGTATATCATACATCACAATTATACCAAGGCTCATCGCCCATATCCATCTTAACCTTCTGTCATGATCCACCCATATCGCATTACACATACGCCTTCGCATACGCTACCATGAGGGATCTCCTTTCAAATCTGCCTCGCCGATAACCCGCCCGACTGAGAAGCCACCACTAAGCAAACGACATGCATTGCATTGCGGCAATTGACGACTACCCGGACAAGCTAGGTGGATTAACTAGATGTAAGCACCCAATCATTGAACTCATGCTCGACCACAATTTTGCCCGCCGATTCAGTGCGCCGGGATCAAACATCGGCTCCCGGCCCACTATAATAGTGCTGCTATTTGGGCAGTTTCCTGGAGTTGGTGCAAACGCCTCTCTTCAAGAGTACGTGCTCACGCCAACGCTTTTTCATGAGCCAGTAAGCACACGCCCAGCATCGAGCCGGCCATCCGGGCTTGGCCTGACAATCCCACAGCACCCTCTCCTTTTTTGCTTCTCCTTCTCCTTATTCCCACTCCATCTGGGTTTGGGTTCAGGAACCCGAGGACGAGGCGCACGGATGAAGATCCTCGCTGCTGTTTCCCGTTGAGCATATCGAACGTCCACAGGTCCCGATGCTGCGACTTAGGCAGCAAGATTTTGTCTCTTGATCCCCCTGTTTCCCGATAAGCCAAGAACCCGAATCAAGGCCATTCTTGGTGATCACACTTGGTTGAGGTGAGGATGAGCGGTTTTATGAGTTGGGCTAAGATGCTTCCCAGTCATTAACTTATGGCGATAGACCTTCATGGTGTCCAGCTATGGCACTTGGATCTATGTGATCCAGGCTGGTGTCCTTCATCAATTGGTTGGTGAACAAATCCACCCCTGAGGCCTCTATATCACCCAGCAACACCGGTATTGTTGGGGAATCTTTTTGCCGACATGTACAGTCGGTCTAACGAAATTCTAACTGTTCTCCATTATTTTGGCATGTTGGATATAAGTTGCCTACCTAATAATCTTGTCAGTTCTTCCATAGCCAAGTTCGTACCACTCGACCAGGCACCAATGACAACCTAGATTCTTCGATTCCTATAGGTGAAAATGTCGCCTAGATTGCCTAGAGAAAACTTCATCGCCAAGATTTTATAGTCGATATTCGATATCCCCATTTCGTTGTTGGCCTTGATAACCCGTCTTCTAGGCGATATGCGCAGTCAGGCATTCTTGCATGCCCAACGCCAAATCCTGCTGGGGTATTTGTATGTCATGCCATGCCTCTCCCTTTTTTTTCAATTTGGCATTTCTAGACTTCATCCGGGGTCCTCATGACTTGCAGGAGAAAAGTCGGGCACGCGGCCCGTGCCATCCTCAAGCGCCCGCACATAAGCAGGCAGGATGGCCAGGTATCTTAATTTGGCGACGGCGGTTGTCCATAATCACCGAGGAAGCCAATGCAGCCTTGGTGTCTCCCGCCTCTCTCTTTTAACTGCTGAATCCGTCTATTTGTCCGGGTGGTCAAATAACTGCAAGTTAACTACCCTGTACTTGTCTAGAAGCACATCTCCCATGGTGACATCACATCAACATGCCTTTACATGAACCATGTAAAGCGAGTTATATCCGATCCCCATGCTCGATAAATTCGCAGCCCGATCACACGTCGCTCGTTAGCAAGTATCTACAAGTGGCAGTACTTTGTCGGCGATGTTACCTAGCTACAACTTATTTCATGCGTGTAGCCTTGCTCTACCATGCAGATTGCGCGGCCAGCTATGTCGGTTACATAGCCAATCGAAAGAAAATAGTGTGCCCGGGAGCATAGTGAGTTTGGATGCCAGCTGTGAAGTACCAAGCTGGACAGGCTTGTCCGTCGCCGTACCAATCAGCCTTATCACCTGGTTATCTGGGTGACAGACTGTTGGGATCAGTCCCCTCGCAGTACAACATCTCAGCCCCGACAGCACGGCACGAGAAGCATAAGTAGGATGAAACTGCGGGGAAAGCCATAAGATAGAGGTTTGAAGCCAGTCGTGTTGGGTTCCCCGAGCGTATTCGTGATCCTACTCTCGTATCCAATCCTGCGGGAGGTCATTTATTTTCTTCTTTTCTCTTTTGCTCGCTGTTCAGAGTTCTCAAAAGACATGTCACCTGGACATCCTTATCTTCGACTATAAGGAGCAACAATATCAAAGCAGAATTGCAAAAACATCAGTCGTTACTAAGTACATATGCATACCAAGCCGTAGGAAGCTATAGCACATGGCCATTAAGTCAGATCACGCATCAGAGTACGAGAACCTCACGGCTGGCAGCGGCTGGACCTGATAGATGTATGCGTGAATGATGAGAGCCGAAGCGCAAAAGTTTCCCCTTTGCGTGACCTCTCTCCCCTTCCTTTACTTTTTAATTTTTGTAATATGTAGAGAACTTGGAGTGCTCAGGTATGCTGCAGCGTCGACTTCCCCCTGCTAGTTCCTGGAATGGGATTGAGGCAACTCCAAATCTAGATGTCAAAAAACTTTCCGTTTCTGCGAAGGGCGTAGAAACACTCCTGACACAGTAGGTTAGATGAAAGGGTGATTGGAGTGAATCAACGGTTATGCGGAGAGCATAGTAGGCTGTTTCACAGACAGGTCTAACTTCACCAGCAACAAAATGGTTGCACATCCTGAGTCTCCTGCGTGGTATCGACCAGTGAAGCTACTTTACATATGGGTAAAAGGTTTTCGCTGTTTGTTGACGGCAGTGTCAGGGGCCCGTCCGTCCATAGTTTGGTAACTAAGAAGAAGCGATCTATGGGTCGTCCCGTCAATGGGAGATCATCCGACACGTGACCAGAGCTTCGGCGTTATTCCAATGACGGAAAAAAAATGGTCCAGCCTAATTCGCCGCCCGCTGACCTGACCTCGACCTAGCTGATGACCAACCTCAACATCAGCGTCAACGCCAAAGACCTCGCAGTCAAGGAGCTTTTCTTCTCCTTCCCTTTATCGGCAGTTTCCTTTCTTCATCCTGGCTGCTGGGTTTTCTGGTTACTTTCTTCTTTCTCACCTGTAATATTATTAATCATGGTTCTGGAGTTACACGTCTGGGGTCCGGCGTTCGGCCTACCTTCGATCGATCCCCAATGTCTGGCCACCATTGCATACTTCTCTCTTGCTATCGGTCCGAATAATGGTGGATCAGACAAATGGGTGTTGGTTGCAGACAGCGATCCTGGAAGAGTACCAACGCGTAAGATTTTTTCTCAAAATACTCCATTGAAACTTTTGTCTTTTTATATCTTTTGCTTGGGCGCCCCGGCAGTGTTTGTTTTGTTAACTTAACCTTTTTGACAGATGAACTACCTGCGCTTTGGACAGGCTCACGATGGATTAGTCGATTTCGCAACATTGTCGATTTTTTGAAAAAATCTTCTGGGGGAGAGTGGGATCTCAACAGGTGGTTGGATGAACGGGAAACGGCTGACTGCATCGCGTGAGTCTCGTCCACATAACACTGGAGAACACTGAAGCTTTCCAAAATTGAGGGCTAACGCAGAGATAATACAGCTTCTCGAGTTTTTTTGAATGCTATGGACAACCGTTAATTGATCTTTCGCTATACGTTTCGAGTGAAAACTACTATGCAACTACTTCACCTGCATATGGATCCCTCCTGCAATGGCCGAACCAGTGGATACTGCCGCCTCGACTACGATCAAGGGCAAAGGCTCGCACAGAACACCTTGGACTATCGCACCTTGACCTAGATGCGACGGAAGAGAAGCAAAAGGAGCAACAAGGTGGACGACAGGCGCTATCTGCATCAAGTCAGATACCAAAGAGTCTTGCTACTAAGTCTCAAGAAACGATAAGTGGGCTCCTAAGCAAGTCGTCGCAGCAAAGTCGCATCCGACTAGATGGATTAACAGAAGAATTCGTGAGTCCACTGGTAGAGCTGCTGGACGGGAAAGGATACCTATTGAACAACGATATGGCGTGTAGTCTAGATTGTGTGGCCCTGGGATACCTATCACTGGCGATCTTTCCAGAGACGCCGTCACCATGGCTTCGAGAAGGCGTGCATAAATATTCACCGCAATTGGTGAAGTATTTTGAGAAGCTCCAATTGAAATGCTACGGCGGAAAGGTTGAATCAGTCGATACTAGTCGGACTGCCACAACACTACCATGGCAGGAATCTGAGCCAGCAAGTATAGCAGGGATCGGTCTTAGTATCGCAGAGTCTCTTGCAGATGCCATCCCAATCGTGAGAGACATTCGAGCTAGCAGGCGCATTCAACAGCTGAGCAAAGATGTTTCTGCTGAACATGAGCAAAAAATTATGGAGTTAGTCGCCCAGAGTAGGCGACGAGAAGCTATAACATCAGCGTTGACGGTGGTAGCTGGGATTGGGATGCTTGCCTGGTATCTCGTCGCAGGGATAGGCCTCGAGCTGCAGTTTTCTGACAGCGCACAGCAACAGGACGGAGATGGAGATGGTCCCGAAGCTGCTGGTCAAGAAACAGCAGTAGCGACCCCAAGCTCGTCATTTGGAGAAGCTGGCGAGATACTCGGGCTACATTAATAACCAGTCCTTTTACTAGGGCCCTTATTCGCTCTTTGAGCTTCAACCTGTTCTTTATCTGGCTCATACTACTGTTCGTCTCGCGTGTGGGTATCCATGCTGTTTCATCACGGATCATCCAACAGGCTACTCCTTATCTGCGGTATTATCATGCATCTCCTTACCAAAACTCACTCCTCCCCTCCTTTGACGCTGGCTGTTTCCCGGTGCTTTTTCCTACTGGACCCTTTTTGTCTCCCTGTTTAACACAGCCAATGTCGCTTCCGCTCGATCGCTGTGGCCAAGGCTTCCAAGCCGCTCCTGTCTTGCCGCGTCCCGTGATTCGACACGTGAGGCTTACTCAGCCGGTATTCGGTCATCCTTGCTCTCAAGGTCCTCATGCATGGCTTTCTTTTTGCTTCTGCTTCTCGTTTTTTTTGCTGGTTGGACTCTCTTGATCACGAAGAGGGACGACCAGTACGGAGCGCCCTCATCTTGACACGCGGGAGTCGAATCGCAGAACAAAAGAGCAGAGCGAAAGGCCTGGTGACGGCTGCAGGATACACTGATACACGCACACGGGGCCTGTACATGCAGGTGGCAGCATGAGAATGCAGAGATATATCTGATATACAACTGGCAATTCCCCTCGAGCATTCTCCTCCCTCCCGCCCTCACTCTGTCGACACTAATTCCAGCCTCACGCCCACTCTGCAACGCCCTCGCCTTTCCCGACTGGTTGCCGGAAGCTATATATACACTTTTGAGTGTACCGACCTTGCGAGCACATACCCTCAATTGGTTGCTTTCTGAGCCGTCCGGAAATATACCATACCTGCAGCCAACCTTGTTCAAGTGCAAGTGCCACGAGTCCGTCAATATTGTCAACCCTGCCTTTGCTTTTTCCGGCCTCTGCCCTCCATCGAACGAATTCTCGTCTAATTCAGAAGTCTCGTTGATTTTGGGCCGGTTGTGTTGGAGGGCTAACTTTCCTTTTTATTTGGCTCCCAACTGGCTGTTGGACATATAAATCACCTCCTTTCTCACCCACCTCATTCGATCCGAGCAGTTTCAATAGTTTTATTTCCTTCCCCCTCAGAGCGCACACCAACTTCTACTTTATCCCCAATTCCTTCAGCTGGTAATATAATATCATGGACCAGTTAGTATCTGCTACTCTCTCGAGGCGGTATGGTGGCGAAGGGGATGCCACCTTTGTAGCCTGCAACAACGGCAACGACTACAATGGTCAGCTCAATCTCCGCATTGTTGCCATTTTCATCATGCTTGTTGGCTCCTCGGCCGGTGCTATTCTACCTGTCTTTGCTAGGCGTGACCCCAACTCACCCTCAAAATCCAAGGTTCCTTCATGGGTGTTCTTCGTCGCCAAATTCTTTGGCTCTGGTGTCATCATTGCCACGTCCTTCATCCACCTTATGGCTCCCGCACACGAAGCACTCTCCCACCCTTGCTTAACCGGCCCCATCAAAGAATACCCCTGGGTCGAAGGCATCTTGCTCATGACCATCATCATCCTCTTCTTTGTTGAGCTGATGGTCATCAGATATGCACGTTTCGGCCATGACCATGACCACCCGAAACCGGAACGCCAGGTTGAAACAGGCGTTGTCACTGCCGAGCCTAAGTCGGCTAACGGCTCAGACAACCACAACCATAACCACGATCACCTTGGACACTCCCAGGATCATCCATCGGACGGCGGCTCTGATGTTGTCGAGGCCTCTCATATGGCGTTACTAGAAGATTATAGCGCACAGCTAACTTCTGTCTTCATCCTGGAATTCGGCATCATCTTCCACTCAATTTTCATAGGACTCACCCTTGCCGTTGCTGGACAAGAGTTTAAAACACTATTTATTGTGCTTTCATTCCACCAGACCTTCGAGGGTCTCGGCCTTGGTTCTCGGCTCGCCACTATCCCATGGCCCAACTCAAAGAGACACACCCCTTACCTCCTGGCGATCGCCTTTGGCCTATCGACACCCATTGCCATCGCCATTGGCCTGGGTGTGCGCAATTCCTACCCTCCGGAGGGCCGCACAACACTCATTGTCAACGGTATATTTGATTCTATCTCGGCCGGAATTCTCGTGTACACGTCACTGGTCGAGCTGATGGCCCACGAATTTATGTTCAGCACATCCATGCGGCGGGCACCCATCCGAACCGTCTTGTCTGCTTTCGGCCTATTGTGTCTTGGAGCCTTGCTGATGGCGCTACTCGGAAAATGGGCCTAGGGCGACACTTTTTCATGATGACCTTTTTTTTTTTTTTTTTTAAAAATTTTCTATTCTCATCTCCTGCATTTTAATCAGGGTTAAAAGAAAGGTTGTCCTTTTGTATTTTGCACAATTGATATTATTGAAAAGTACTACGGACTGGAGTTTTGTGAGTTTGCGCGTTACCAGCTGTATTTGACGACACCAATGAACATTTAAAAAGACGTGGATGGTGTCCTGCCGATATAGCATGCCGTTTGCTCTCTGATAGCTTGGACAGGGGAGCCGGCTAGTTAATTACAATTAACAAATCGAATTCTGCTTGAACATGGACAATCGCTGTACTTTTCCTTCGCATCACACACGTATACATCGGCCCACAACCAAATCTCCTCACTTCTGCCGTTGCGTCTCACCAAGCCCCCTCATCCCCTGTAGTACGTTCGACGCTCAGCTCTAACAGACCACAGCTGCAGCTAAGTATTTGCGATTTCGCCCGGTTTCTTGCTGCAGTTAATGAAGCACTGCTTCAAGGGGCCGGTAGATCTCCAACAATGCCGATTCGTGGGTGGGGATGGGTGGTAATGCTTGTATCCGCACTTCCTGTCGCTGGTAGTTCCCTGTGCGCTGGCCAAGAGCGACAACTAACGACATTCAAGTGTCAGCCATGGTGGTAACGGGGATGAGACGCGCAACAAGGAGTTTCTTGGCTAACACTGAAATTAGTGGCGTAGTGTCTAATGTTAGACCCGTGGACTGCGAGGTATTTTATTTATTTTGATGTTACACGCTGAGGGCTTCGGTGCCTTGATAGTTATATATCTCCACGCCCGTCGATTGCGTGTCTTCAACGCAAGGGGAAAGGAGATTAGTTACCCGACCCGGCACCCTTCAACGTCCATATTTTGGATAAGGTAAATAACTAACTTCTCGTTACGTCTGTATCATCTTGACTTTTTAAGCGGCGGTCCGAGTGCATCTTGAGATGAAGATCCCCCATGGGGAATCATGTGGGACGCTGTGGACTTGTAGTTCTTTTCATGTCAGGCGTAGACCAAGTTGGGGCGGTCATATCACCCTGCACAACATCTTTGCGATATTTTGTGCCTATGTTTCAGGCCTCAGGCCAGAAGGGCTCATTATCAGTTTGCATGGTATGTATAGCGGTTCTCGTTCTTGAATTTATCAGCTGTTGTGCTAACCAATCCATTTCGTCAACTAGTTACAGTAAACGCGGGTCTGCACCCCGGAGTAACTGTGTATATCTGGTTGGTGGTTGGAGTACATGGAGTGCAACCGGAAGCTCCTGGAGCCTCCCTGGAGAGATGTATAGAATCCCATCTGCCAAATTATCAAGCAAGGGAATTGTACTGATGTTCCCGCTTTGCGATCTTGATATCCTGCATAATGGTCACCTTTTCTTGCAATAGTGCAGCGTCATATGGAAACCCAGAGAAGTTGTCACAGTCGATTTATCAAAACACGGGCCCTGATGGTGGAAACTTCGAGTCGCCGTGAAGACATTACTGGACTCGTAATTTGATATTTGACACATCTATCTATGGAAGAGTCAAAAATAGATACGAGCTTTCCGTTTCTTTGATTGGCTGTGAACGTTCAAGTTCTTCTGTTTGACATCCCATCTTTCGACTCTGAAGCTCCCACAAACAAGCCGAAAGTGCTCTTCACGGTCTAGGAACGGAAAAATACGAACAAACCTGTGAATATCATGTACAAAGTCCCTCGTACTCTACTTCATGCGACGTCACAACCGTCAAGGCTGCCAAGGGGAGGCCTTCAGCTGGCAGCACCAATATCGTGCAAGCTGCACCGAGTGCCCCGTGGTGCATCATCAACAGAAAATAACCTAGCTTGACCTTTCCAAGCACACCTTCATTTTGTTGCCATATACCAAAAGCCCAGGCCAGCCCTAAACCCTGTTGGCGTACATCACGCCCTTCTCTACAAGCTAGAGGAAGTGAAGCGAGCGTTGAGGTTCTTTTCAACAAATAGAATGCGTAACCACTTGGTTGAGATTACCGATATATTCGGGAACCATGTTGTCATTCAAGGGTTGGCGAATCCTTCATGCTTGATTCGACCAAACCTGAGTCATTCGTATGAAGCACTTGGACCGCATAAAACGAGCTCCTCCCTCTCTATAATGACCCCTTTCGATATCTCAAAACACATCCATATCCTTACCTGAATTGTCTAACTCCATAATCGATTCCATTTACGATGGTAAAAACACTATACGCAGTAACCGCGTTGTTATTGCTTAACCCTACCCTGTCCGTCTGCGGTGGCCCCAATTCTCGAGCAGTAGAAAAGATAAGGGCTGACTTCAGACTCCCTGGCTTCGCTGTTGGGCTGTTTAAGAATGGATACTTACAGTACGAGGTTACTGGGCGACGCAAAAACACAGAACCTATTCCCATCAAACGTACGGACAAGTTCCATCTGGGGTCCATTACAAAAGCAATGACTGGCACACTTATTGGAATGATGGTTGACAGAGGACTGATCAACTGGACCAGCACTCTTCCGGAGGTGCTGCCTGATTTTACCAATATGATGCATGATGATCACCGGAATACAACCATTGGCATGCTTGGGGCGCACAGATCAGGCATTTTTGACGACTACTCAAAGGATCCCGACTTCTATCTTGGCCTCTACAACCTTGACCCTGTCGAAGGCCGGAAAGAAATGATAAATCATACGCTCAGCAAGGAACTAGGGACTATCAAGGGTCAATACGCATACGATAACACCAACTATGTGATTCTCGGCCGGATCATCGAAAATTTCTTGGGAGTCGAAAATGGCGCATCCTGGGAGCAGATCATCACGACTGAACTTTTCAACCCTCTCAGAATGAAGTGTGGGTTTGGGACTCCCCATCAATCCTCAGAGACATCCATCGATAACCCCTGGGGCCATTATTTCTATAATTCTTCATCTAATCCTGAACCTGTGGGTGGTCCTTTGATTAGACGAGATAACCCACCTGCCCTTGGTCCCGCGGGCACCGTTCACTGTGATATTAAATCATATGTGAAATTTTCTAAAATGCATATTGATGGATTCAACGGTGGACGCACAAAACTCGGGATAAGTAACGAAACCCTTAAGATGCTGCATACACCTTATCCGTCCACAGATGGAGTGATGTATACACCTGGGGGCTGGATCTATGCCAACGATACCACGACTCCGTGGACTAATGGGCCAACTTTGGGACATGAGGGATCTAACACGTTAAATCATGCCTTGGTATTTCTTGTTCCCAAACGTGGACCGACTGGAGAGATAATCACTGCTTTTGCGAATACTGGGAATTATATCGCTGAGAAAGGTACAGCACCAGCAGCAGATGCCATGTATACTGCTGTTTCGGATATTATGGAAGGGCGCCTGTTCAAGTGAATGTGATCAGAAGGAAGATCCTGGATCTCTTGTGTATATTATATCTAATTGACCTCAATCCTTTACATTATTCTCATTTCGTCTTAGCTTAATTAAAAAGTTTCCACCGACGTGTCACGTGCACATCTTATCAGATCAAGTTTGTTTCGAAGTGAGCCTCTTCTGCCTTCAGATATCATGATATTAAAGGGCTCGACTTCAGATTATCTTGACAGTGGTAACTCGGTTGGCGCAGTATTGGCATGGGGTGGGTGGGAATAGGGGCTCTAATTGCCTCTATATCCTATACTCTCTACAAGCACCCACCAACGTCATGGTCATTTCTGCTCTCTCCATGGAGCTTTTTGACAGGACGAAGGACTCCTTCGGATGAGCCCAACCCAGGCCCAAACTCGATTGAACTCCCTTCTACTAGACAGGATGATACTACTCCTGCTGATGCAGCACCTAGTGAGGACGACGACGACCAGGATGGGGAATCGACACCAAAGGCAAAGCCTACGATACCAGCATCTGCCATCCCACCTATAACACTCGACGAACCTCGAGCTATTTCCGACGCAAAGAAGAATGCCATAGAACCGTCCTCTGGCTCAGGAGTAAGCCCTAGTGCCTCACTGAAGCCGAATAGTACTCCTTCTGTTATGGCTTCACCGCGTCCAACAATGACGCTTCAGCCTCCTGCTCCAACTGTTAACGTACCAGAGCAACGCCCACCTGCACCAGCAAGCACGTCGTTGATGCCTCCGCCGCCTCCGCCTGCTCCTAGGCCTTCCTCTTCCTTAAGAGCACCTCTCCGGCCCCCGCCATCAGCAGCAGCCTCCCTCCGCGTCCCACCAGGATCACGCCCTACCACGAGCACTCTCCCCGTCCTCTCTCTCCCGGGAAAACCAAAACGATCATCTCGGCCCGTCATCTTAGAACCAGGCCACTCTCCACTTGACTGGGCAGCTCTAACGTCTAATCCGCGGAACAATCTTCGAGGCGCAGATCTGCCACCTACATTGATCAGGGTTACACCGTCAATGTTAAAGCAGCATAATGGGCGCAAGGGGACAGATGCATGGACGTCGTATCAGGGGAAAGTGTATAACATTACTCCATTTGCACCGTTTCACCCTGGTGGGAAAGGAGAGCTGCTTCGTGGTGCTGGCAAGGACTCGGAAAAGCTGTTTGCTGAGATCCATCCGTGGGTGAACTGGGATGGCATGTTGGCTGAATGTATGGTTGGAATATTGGTTGCAGAGCATATTCCTGGTGACATGCAGGATGGGAAACTTGATGAGATGGACTGAGTATTTGTCTATTTGGTTGTAAATTTTTCATTGTTAGATTTAAATTATGGAGCATGATACCCAGTCTAGACAATCAATATACTTACAGATTCTACATTAATGGTGCCACCTAAGATTACTTGCATATAAATATGCATAGGATCCAGATTTACGTATTTCCTACGGGGAGTGCCTCTCCTACTCTTATATGAACCATTCGTCTCCGTAGTTTAGATCATATTCCATATAGACATAACTATGGGTACGAACTCGTTGAAACGCTAGGTTATACCCGATCTAAACAGAGGCATTCATGGCACTGTCTATCCGGTTCTGAGTCCGGGCTCTGCAATCCAAAACAAGGTAATACAGAGGCTGTGACAGGCATAGGCGTTAGATATCCGCAGTGTACCGGGTAGATTTTTTTTATAGCTCGCCCTTGGAAATATCCATCAACTCGGTCTCAAAGACCAAGGTGGCACCTCCGGGAATGGGACCAATTCCTCTGTCTCCGTAGGCGAGTTTTGGTGGGATGGTGAGCTTTCTCTTCTCGCCGACGGCCATTCCAAGAAGCCCTTGTTCCCAGCTATGACACACAAAGAGCAAGTCAGCAACGAATATGAGGGGCCAACAGGCAAATTGTCATGATCAATAACACTAGGGAGACTCACCCCTTGATAACCATACCTCCGCCAAGGGTGAAGCCCAATGGCTCACCGCGGTCGTAGCTGGCATCGAATTTCTCGCCGGTGGATTGCAGGGTACCACGGTAATGCACCTTGACTTGGTCGCCATTGACACTGCGGCGGTCACTGGTGACGGCCTTGATGGTCTCGATGACGAGGCCGTCGGGGGTGGTGGTGGTAGGGTTGGTGGCAGCAGACATGGTGACGGCAGCAGTCAGGACGGTCAGGATGGATGTAAAGCGCATGTTTGATGGAGGAGGAAAGACGGAGGATGTGAGAGAGGGAGCGCTCGACTGAGGTGGGGAGGGAGGAGAAGCGGGCTTCCGCCGGAGTTTAACGTGCGAGTTAGTTATCTAATCCGAGCCTCACCTACCTGCGGAATACCACTTGTCCCTCGAGGTGGCCATGCACAGAGTAACAGCGTAAGTTGACGATTGACTCGTATATTAAGCATTTGGGATTAGTTACATTCTGGCTTATAGGTACGTATAACGCGCTCGCTCTTTTTTCCTTTTTTACATAGCATTACCTAGTCATTAGTCGTTATAATGCATCCAGACCAGCCGTCGTCTTACTGAGGCCTGTTGTCCACAGATCCATCCACAGTCTCGTCAAAGTCTTGGACCTGTGACTGGTAGGCAGAGGTCTCCTTCTCTGTCCCTTCTACTGTCTGTTGGACTGCTGGACTCTCCGGAAGATACTTCTTTGCTTCCTGAGCTATCCTATCTTCATCCGTGAACCCGACGAACCCGGGAACGTCCCTCCAGGTCGGAACTAGTCTCACGAATCCCCTTCTGCGGATACAGCAGAGGCACAGCGAAGTACAGTGGGCGTAGAATACTTCGCCACTGGGGGTGACGTCCCGAGGCTTGCTGCAGCATCCGCAGTCCGTCGCGCAGCAGCCACCGTTTTCTTTGCATGGCTTGACGAATTTCTCCTGCGCGAGATATCGTGGCAGACCGATCTTTGATACCATGCGTTTGATGCGGTCTGACTCCATGACCCAGCTCCTTATCTTGGGTCCCTCTGGCCTGCTTCCGGTCAATTCGACATGTTTTTGTTCGTTAAGCCAGAGTCTCGCTTTCGAGTCGGCTAGTTTGTCTTCCCAGAGCTTGGGGCCGAAGTTATCAAGCCCGTCAAGTTCGTCGAGCTTATCTTTGGCAGCGTAGTCGAGAAATGTCTCCCGAAGGAAATAATCCCGCTGCCTCAGGAATTCCCGCTCTTCGTCCAGGTATTCCCATTCCTCGACCCAGTCTGTTTGTTTCTGGATCTGGGATTTTGTTTGAAAAAGCTCTTTTGTCTTTCGGATCTTGTTGGATACCCAGTAAATGTGGAGGGTATCAAAGAGCCCTTCAAAGCTGATGCCGCTGCGGAACCCGAGCATGAATAGCAGGGCCGCAAACACTGTTATTGCAGTGATGATGCTCCTGGGCGAGATAATCGGCTCAAGAAGCCAGGGTATGACGTGCTCTATGTTTTGTATCATGTTCTCATCCATGGCGTGAGCGAGAAGGCAAGTGGAAGATAAGGAACAGATAGAGACAATGAGAGAAGAGGGGAGAGTGAAGATGAGAGAGAAGGAGGAAGAGGGAATAGTCCTGGGAAGGGAGGGGGGGAATAACCTAGGGGGTTGCAGGTGGAAAGGCCGAAGGTGCAGTTGATATCGAGATGAAAAGGATTGAGAAATTGCGACCACCAAATGGGGGAATTTCGCGGTTTAAATAGACAGCTGGGAAGTCTAATTATTTAATAATGCCATTTTCAAAAGTGAATTATATTGCCGTTGTGGCCGTTGTTTGGATCGCAGGTAGACAAACTGGTGCATAGGTAGGTGGTTCAACCCAACCAGGGGAACCAAACCGGGAGAACCAAACGAAGAGTGGTCGTCTTGATCTCGACGGCGTTCAGCACACAGTAGACTGTTCAACAGATCTTTAACATGCTGCCAGTAACACCTTTGGTATCTGTAGCTGCTATGTTCTCAATTGGCAGCTTTTCTTTTCGCCGTGGATTTAGGTACTATTGTATTCTGAATGACATCATCATGACAACTATATTCAATATTAATTGCTCTAAGTTGGTGTGAACCACAATGTTGCAAGTGTCTACCATGAATGCCCGTGTGCTTCTTACGCAGCAGGCGTCAGTTGCCTGCTTACGTACGGAGTAACTAGTCGAGGTAAACGTACCGAATTTCGTCCCTCCCCAGGCCTTCTTGACTTGCTGCATTTCGAAGAGCTTCACATCGCTCTCCTGCCAGATCCCGCACCGCCAGTATCTCACCCATAGGCACTAACCGGACCTTCTTGACGAACATACAATTTCCCATACAAAATGGCCAATGTTGAAAACTTATTTCCCGCCACAACGCTTCTCTAGACCCCAAGATGGTAAGAGAAGGATCCTCTTTTAGTATAGAATCTAGATATCTTTGTAATGAATGCAATTTTGAAATAAAAAAAGAGAGAGAAAATTAGAAAAATAGAAATTTACCCTCTTTTTAGAGGCCTATTTTTTAAAATTCGGTATTATACGCTATGTTAATTCTAAAAGAGGGGGATAGGTTACCTAGGGTCTTCAAGTACTTTTAATACTATCTAGAAGTTACTTGGCGGGAAGATTAAATTTTTAAGAAATTGGTCATTTTATAGAGGAAAATGTATGTTTGTTGAGATGCCGGTTACCTCCAGTATGTCAGCGTGTTGCAAATGTATGCACTGCGGCTACCCAGCTACCTAGTTAGCCGCTTCTCACAACCGGGACCTGCAGCTCGTTGGTGGCCATGGGCCAGCCACCCGCGTTCCGGAAGCGCGCAATATGAGTGCGGAGACGGCGAATGCAAGAGACACGGCCAGGGAAGGGGAGGGGGGGTCTTGACGTTGCAGTTGGGTTTTCAAGTCGCCCTTGACTATGTCTTCACCGCAGCT